GACGACCGCTAGAGATGATCCACCTCAGTGGGTCACTCAGCCGGCTCGCCCACCCCTGCCCTCGCCAAAGCCGCGAGACCGGAATTTCGGTGGTACGCCCTGCCAAGGGTTACACCGAGGGACGCCGCACAGCCCTGATCCACTTCGAGTGGAACGGGCGGCGTGTCGAGATGAGCCTCCCACGTCAGTGGAGCATCTCGGCGCGCCAGGAAGTGCGGAAAACCCGTAGGAGCAGGCGGACATCGCTTCCAGGGGGGGGGCGCGCTTCTGCTCACACCACATGCTAGGGGGGGGGTCCGACCCCCCCCAGAGGCTTCACCACATGCTAGGGGGGGGTCCCGACCCCCCCAGCGCCTTCACCACATGCTGGGGGGGGGGGGCGTGCGCCCCCCCCCCTGGAAGCGATGTGCGCCTGCTCAGGCCAGTGCGCGCTATGAACAGAGTGAGTGTGCTGCTGCTGGGCGCTGGGAGTGAGAGGATGAGAAAGTGCCCGGGAACAGCCCCTCCTGGCCCGAGTGCGGGCGCGAGGGACAAAATGAACCCAACGGGCATCATGCAAAAGAGTCGAGCTGCTTGATCAGATCGACAAAAACGCCACGAGAAGCGGCCTTGGTGAGGATGTCGGCGAGCATCACAGCGCCGGAGATGTGCTCGACAGACACCACTTCGCGCGTGACGAGGCCGCGGAGGAACTCGGCAGCGCGCAAAATGTGCTTGGTCTTCTTGAAGGCGACGGGGTCGAAGGCCATGCCGACGGCGGACTTGGAGTCGCACTTGATGACGCTGGCGGCGTCGATGATGAAACCGAGGTCGATCAGCAGCTCGCGGATGAAGATGACTTCCTTGGCGGCAAGCATGGTGCCGAAGAACTCGGCCTCGGCGCTTGAAAGCGTAACGGAGCGCTGCATCTTCGAGAACCAATGAAAGAGGCACCCGTAGAAGAAGAACATCCCGCCGGAACACGAAAACTTGGTTGCCCAGCTCGAGTCGACAAAGCTCTCGAGTCCGCGATCAGGATCGGGGCGCATCATGAGAGCGCGGTCGGTGGTGTCGCGCAGGTAGAGGAGGACACGAATGGCAGCTTTGAAGTGTGACGGGCCGGGGTTGGTCATGAAACGAGCGAGCTGCGAGGCGGAGTAGGCGATGTCGACGCGCGTCATGTTTGCGAGCCAGAGAAGAGCGCCGACGATGGCCATGTATGCCTCACGGAACTGGGACATTTCGTCATGCTCGACGGAGCCGGGAACGGGCTGGTCGGCGGGCGAGAGCTCGAGGCCTTCCTCCATCGGCGAGTCGAAGTGACGAGAGCGCGAGCGCTCAAAGTAGGACCCGAATTTGGTGATGAGGTCAGCTGTGTAGAGGGCCTGCGACAAGTTGAGGGTGCGTGCAGCGCGGTCGCGGGTAATCGCAGTGTTGAGGATCCACTCGAGCTCGCCCTTGTCTTCGGTCGGGAACCGCTTCGAGATGTCGGCGACGAAGCGAGCACGCAAGTCGGGGCAGCTGTCGACGATGAGGATGTCGTCGACGTAGACAAGTGCCCACAGAATCGAGCCGCTCTGCTCGTAGGTGTAGAGGCAGACGTCGATGGTCGAGCGCACAAAGCCCCACGACACGAGGAAGGAAGAGAGGAGCTGCGCCCATTCGCGACCGGCCTGCTTGAGGCCGTAGAGGCTGCGGCGCAACTTGCACACGAGCTCGCCGCCGCGGCTGTTAATGCCGGGCGGGGCGCGCATGTAAAGGTCTTCGTCGATGGTGGCCTGCAAGTAGGCCTGCCGAATGTCGAGCGAGGTCAGGTTATAGTCACGCGCAGCGGCAATGGCGAGGACGAGCCGGATGGTGAGCGCCTTGACGACGGTGGCAAAGACGCGATTGAAGTCAACCCCGTGCTTCTGTGTGTTTCCGTCGGCGACGAGGCGCGCCTTGAACTTGTCGATGGACCCGTCCGCCTTGCGCTTGATTGCAAAGACAAAGTGGCAGTGCATGACATTGGCGCCGGCGGGCACGGAGATGAGAGGCACAAGGTCCCACGTTTTGAGCGCGACGAGGCCGGTGAGCTCTTTGGCAACAGCCTCTCGCCACTGCTCGGCCTGCGGACCAGACATTGCCTGGCGGTAGCTCTTCGGAACCCGTAGAGCGCCCTGGTCGGAGGTGAGCGTGACGGAGTAAGCTGCGCCAGCGAGGCGAGAGGCAGTGATGAGGGCGGTGTCGTCAGACGGGTTGTAGCCGAGGAAGGCGGCGTCGACGGCGCCGAGCGAGTCGTCGACGGCGTCGTTCCGATCTCGTCCCGGTCAGTGAAGCGGACGCGGCGTCGAGATTCGTCGTCAACGTAGAGAAACGGGTTGAACCACGACGGGGGGGAGGTGCGTCCGTCGTCACAAGAGCCGTCGGTGAAGATGCTGGGTGATGCAATGAAGGGCATTCCAGCGGAAGCGCCCTCAATCTGCGGCACCACGTCGGCCAGTGCAGGTATGGGGGACACTGAGTTGCCAAATCCCGCATTGGAGAGCGCGTGGTCGGCAGGATCCTTGGCACCGCCGGGGAGCGTGAGGTTCCAGGGTGACTCAACGCCGGCCGCCAAAGGCGAGGTTGTCGTCGTCCCGCGATCTGTGGACGATGGACAAGTCGTGAAAATCGTGCAGGTGGGAGAGGATGCAGTCGGCACGAGGACGGCGAGCTCGACGGCGAGCTCAATGTTGTCCTGCGGCAAGACGAATGAGTCCTGCGGCAAGACGAATGAGTTCAGCATGTCATTCGAAGTCGAGTGGACAACGACCACGACCGAAGAGCACGTCGAGAGAGGTGCCGAGATCGACGCGAAGGGCGGGGGCAGGTCAGAAGTCAGGTTTGCGAACTTCAGTTTTTTCTCGAATTGTCCCAGGCTGCCGTCGGCAACGGAGACGGGGTTGACGTCGATGAAGCTCGACGTCTCAGACTTCCCGGAGGGGAAGCCATACTGGATGGCGGCCACTCGGGCGACGCTCGCGAGGTAGACGAGCGCCGCAGCGGGCCGCATCAGCGAGAGAGAGAGAGAGAGAGAGCGACTCACCTTGTGACGGTGCCCTGGCAAAATCGTCCCGATTTCGATGCGCGATTTAGCTAAGTCCCAGAGCCGTTTACGCATGAGCGGGCCCCCTCACCAGCCTAGGGCTCGCGCTTCTGGCCCGAGGTGTCGCCGCTGCCTCCCGCGCCCTCCGGCGCCTGCTGCTACTGCCGGTCGGCCGGTCGGGTCCGCGCGACGGCTCCATCCTCGAGACGTAGCGGTCGCTGAGCGCTTTCTCGACCGCTACGTCTTCCAGTGCACCCACCCACCGCGACCCTCGAACCTGCGCTGCGCGGCGCAGTTGCTGCCGAGCGAGACGCCCCCGCCCGCGCAGGGGCGGCATCACCTGACGCTACCGCATGGCCGAGCAGCGAGCAGTGTGTGCCGCAGTGCCCGTCCGGGCCCTCTTGCAGCTGCCTCTATTGGGCGTAAACCGCGGATATAAGGGTCTATACGGAGGTGGGTGGCCTCTTAGAGGTATGGGAGCCGCTGGCACCGCGCTGGGCGCCGCGGATGCACGTACGAACGAACATTATGAAATCGGGACGATTTTGACCCAAAAATCACAAGGTGTCAAGGAGAGCTTGTAAGCGTAACACGAAAAGAAGGAAATATCGACAACACCT